AGTGTCTATTGAGGTTGCTGAACAATGATTTATATAAGTCATTGGTTACTGAAGAACAGTTGGACTAATTTATTATTTTATTTAATACGAAGGTAAAATATTTTTTTTTTAATGTATTTGTCTAGAAGATACCTAAAAGTTGTAATAAGATTATTATATTTATTATTTTGTAAAAAAATAGTAGCAATCCCGTAAAAAGCTATCATTTTAAAGTATATAAAATTTAATTTCTTCAATGAAAGTTCGAGAAAACTGAAAGGTAAAGGAAAAATTTTGAGTGTTTTTGGAAAATTCGGGAAAACTTGATGTTTTCAACGGGATATTTTGTGTTTTAATATAAATCTAATAGCGATAGCGGAACAAAATATAATAGCAATTTAAACAATTAACTGTTGGTGAACTAATCACTTTTAGAAATACATAATTTTTACCAGTTCCTGTAGTAAAATCTATGTTTTAGATAGTATAAATTGTGCAAAATAATGTAGAGCCTACAATTATGAACTAATTAGTTTTATACATGCGTGTTTCTAGTGAGAGAGCGAATAGTTGAAGGTGAGTTCTGATTACAAGGTTACATGATAAGCCTTAGAATAAAAGGATTAATGAAGACACCGTTCGTTTGAAGCAGCCATTGCCCAATTAACGTCGCTGTGAACCAACGAGCCATGAATAAGGTCAGTTAACAATAAGACAGGATGTAATCGCCTTTTACTTCGGATTATCTAAACATTTATGTGCGTACCATTGATTATGATAGAATTTTTTTGAGAAAACTTCTATTAAGCATAACAAATAGGTAAACAAAAAGAGTATGAAAATGTGTAGAACATTCGGAAAAGATATGTGTTTAGAGTTGAATTAATTTTGAGTTATAATTTATTATGTTGAAAAATAATTAGAATATTCCCGCTTCCTAAGACGGCATATTAAATATAAGACATAAATCAGAGCCAGAGTTATAACTCGTTTGTTTCGTTAAATATTTTGATGTTACATTGTCATCTGCATTTGCTTAGGTTTGTGTTTTCATATCATTAATTGATCTGAAAAGGATTTCACTTTCAACTTTATGCTTTGATTATCAAACGATAATGTATGTCTGTCGGTATTTTACGTAATCTAAGTCAGCATAAGTCATGTCAATTTAAAGAAAAAGTAAGTAGTTAAACATATCCCTGAATAAAAGTAAACTTTCAAAAAAGGACTATGTTTATTTATTAAATCTTTATTACAATATAGTTAATCGGGGACTTAATGCCATACAGCATAAAAAAATAAAGATATACAAGTGCAAGTCGAACTGGCTCACTGGTCCCATACCATTTATCTATAACCAACGTAAAGAGACGTGTTTACTTATTTATTATGTTTAAGTATTTATTGTTAGTGACAATATACCTCTAGCTATACATTGTGAAAATTGCAATTGTCTAGCTGTCACAGTTCATGAAATACAGCCTGTAACAGACAGAAAGAATGACAACGGATTCGTAGTTATTTTTCAATTTATATTTTTCGTTCCGTATTTACCTCATGAATAACAACATCTCAGGACATTCTCATAGTATAAGATATATTTATCATTTATTTAATACGTGAAGCCAAATCTTTGAAGCCTTTTTTTTTTGAGAATTGCGCGGACGAAAGAATATAAAATGTGAAATAGTTAAAGTTTATATGTAGCAGAAGCGCAGAATACTACAAAATATTCTTTTTTATATAATATTGCTTAAAAATACATTAAATTATGAAAATACAACGCATCGCACTCCAAATGCGATGACACTTTTGTTTGCTAAATGTCAAACAATCATAAAGGAGTACGTGATAAGATTTTGAAACTTTATGGATTAAAAAAGCAAACGCTAAAGTCTAATTTTGACAAGCTGGCGACCTGTTTAAATGCTGTACCTACCTCGTAACCAAGAAGTTTAGTTATCTATATTTTTATGCCATACTTCGTTTATTTTCATAATTTAAAAAACGAGAAAGAATGAACGATATTGAACTAAGGAGTATTTAATTATTGTCAGACTTCGTTTAGTTGGTTAATATATCGCGGTGAATATTTGGTTCGGTTAATCATTGAATGTTTGTGGTAAGAATATTAAAATGTAGGTTCATAACATGACCTAGACAGCTAGCAATGATAAGATGGTTCATAAGATTTTTTTTATAGATAGATAACGCAACAACGCAAAACGTGATTACTATATTAAATTAACCGCGTTCTGAATTACTTTAAAGGTGAAAACTTCCTGTATTTTCGATAATTTGTAGATAGCGACGTTGTAGGAATAACGTTTTGTATACAAAGATAAAATCTAAGGCTAAACAATAACAAAGGAAAGACGTAATTTCTTTAATGATAACATTGATTATCATGATATTAAATGAAAGTAGTACTTTTCCTATACTTATTGCCTAGTGTTTTAAAAATAAAAAAGTAATACGTTGTTTAATATTTCTCTGCACTAAAAAGTACAATGATGCCATAAAACATAATTTAAAGGGTTTAGCCGGATACGTATGACGAGTCGGCCCCCAAATGGGAATCGATATTGAAACTTATGTTTTAATATCGACTTGATGTTCAAACACGATTTATGTACTTTTCGCGACCGACTTCCGCTTTGACCTTGAGATAGAGAGCAAAATATCCGTATGCTTGCCTATTACTGAATGTGATATATCTCTAAAGCTAATTAAGATAAAGAAGTGAAACTAACGCGAGGTGTTAGGTTACATTACAGAGTATATCACATATATTTTTTTTATAATTTTTAGAATAAAAAATACATTAAAAAAATAAAAAATAAAAAAATCATGTTTTTTTTTCTGAGTTCTCTGTGACTTACAATCACGAAATTAATATATGTTATGCTCCTTTGTGTGCTCTATTACCCATAAAAATTGCGTGAAAAAAAAGTTGGTGCAACACAACGAAAAAAAATTATATGTGATTTCTGTCTTATGGTATACCCCTGTATTATAAGGTTTTCACATTACATCATTGTTTTTTTTTCGAAATTTCACATCAGCTTGTTTTAAAACATAAGTAACTAGTCTTAAGAGATGGGATAATAGTTAAAAAAGAAATGAAAAAAAAACAGCCAGTGTTCAATACTTATTATTATTACTTTTTCGTGTCTATCAAAATACAAGAAACAAAATATTAATCATCGTCACTGTTGTAATTAATTACAATCGGAACACTTTGAGTCGCAAATAACTTAGTTAGGACCTCAGCAGGACGTACGATTTTGGACAAATATCATCCATATGATAGATAATAAATAATAGCTGCTACATGAGAACAGCATCCCACTGTACGTTTGCCATTGGGGCAATCACAGCAATAACGAAGAATACTATTGTAGTCATTACCTTCGGAAATATAGTGAATGTAAATTCGATAGACTTTTCTATTTATATGTCTTGATTTTACTTCTGCTTTGATGATATTAGGTGCTGATTTCACATATTGTACTGAGAGATTATTTTGATCGTCCATTATTTCGGCCAAGTTAAATGCTGCACATTTAGAAGTAGAAGCTTTTTTGTTAATATATGGGATAAGTCGACACTTCTTACAAAAAATATCATTAACTATTACGATTTTATTCAAACAGTCACTAAACACTTTAGCTTCTTCTTCATTCTTTATAATTTTTTTATAACCAGGAATCTTACACAGGTACTTGTTACAATTTTTACACTTTCTCGACATTATTACTTAATAATGATTTGGTTCGATAGTTAATAATTTCAAAATGCTGATACAAAATACCTATGACAGAATTTGAGTCCCAAACTGCCTTCTTGTGTAATACAAATGACTGCTACTTTAGCTAAACAAACGATGCAGTAAACAGCTCGATAACAAGTTCGAACTTGTTTGTTTATACACTCACACTACAAGGCGCGAATCACATATAATTTTTTTCCGTTGTGTTGCACCAACTTTTTTTTCACGCAATTTTTATGGGTGATAGAGCACACAAAGGAGCATAACATATATTAATTTCGTGATTGTAAGTCACAGAGAACTCAGAAAAAAAAACATGATATTTTTTATTTTTATTTTTTTAATGTAATTTTTTATTCTAAAAATTATAAAAAAATATATGTGATATACTCTGTAATGTAACCTAACACCTCGCGTTAGTTTCACTTCTTTATCTTAATTAGCTTCAGAGATATATCACATTCAGTAATAGTCAAGCATACGGATATTTTGCTCTCTATCTCAAGGTCAAAGCGGAAGTCGGTCGCGAAAAGTACATAAATCGTGTTTGAACATCAAGTCGATATTAAAACATAAGTTTCAATATCGATTCCCATTTGGGGGCCGACTCGTCATACGTATCCGGCTAAACCCTTTCCATTTCCATTTTGAAGTCTGTTAAAAATCGATTGTTTTTTGTTTGAAAGTCTCATGTAATCAGATCATAAAAAATTGCATCTATTTAAATACTTTATATTATACAGTCGAACTTTACAACATTTATACCTCACAACTCACACCACAAAAGCTAAAAGAAAAATCAATATAGACTAAATCCAATGGAGAGTCACAACAAATCAATGAATATGCAAAATAATATTTTAAGTCGGAAATGATAAATGTTTCAGATTATCTTATAATTAATCAATACAACTTCTAATCAATTGAATCTCTCTTAGTTAATGTTACTTTGCGATGATGCGTGGGCGAGTGTTTATCGGATATTAAGCGTTGAGTCACCGGTTCGACGTCCGTGTTAAACATTTTAGAACGAGATGGTTTAACGAGTAATTTATTTAGAATGAAATAGTGTATGTTATTACATGAACCATTTAATTATTTTGTTGATAAAGGTTACTAATTAGAGATTTGATTAAATAAAAAAAAGTTTTAAAACTTTGCTAAAATTTATGTAACAAACGCAATGCTTTTTAGTTTTAGTAGCAATGGTAAATTAAAATAATAATTTTGAATAATGCATGAAACTAACCGAGTTGACTATTTTCCTGGGCATCCTCGCACCTTCCTACTACCCTGATGACCGCATGTCCAGCCAGCTTAGCACATATCATCATAGCCGGCGCTCGCGCATCCATTTCCTCAGCTTCAGCTGGCATCCTTGCTCCTCCCTCATAGTCCGAAGGTGGCCTCATCACTTCACTTTTATTATCACCAACAGTCACAACACAAAACTGCTCACGAGTCGTTCAACGACTAACAATGCTGTTCAGTCCAACGTAAGTTAACACGCTTTGTTGCTTTTCTCATCTACCACCGAACCGAAACGCGATGCGCCTGGGTTCGTTGCGGCACTCAGGTAAATTCGTGCGCCGCATTCGCAACCAGCTTTTATATCTTTGCCAAAACAAAGAAGCGTGGTGCGAGAGCAAGACAGCATCAATAACAAACGTGCCTCTCGTTCGCGCCGTCTACTGCGTAGTTGACGCAAATCGTTTGGCGGAAAAGCGGGAAATAAATAATAGTATAGAGGCGCTCGCGCAGTGATGTCGCTCTCGGGTTTTGGTGTAAGGATATTCGCATGAATGACCAATTCTTTTGAATTTGTTGTATTGATTAGTTGTATCATTGTGCTCTTATCAGTTCTATATGCAGCGTAATCAATTGAATGAGCAATTGTCGATGCATTCGATGTGAAAGACCGTGCACGATTTTCCAGCCTAATTCACAATGTGCCGTCACAGCGGATTCGTATTCTACCTACCGCAATTTATTGTTGGTCACATTTGATGCGCAAACATGATTGCAGTAATTTAGCAAAATGTTTTCGTTTTAAACTGGCATAAATCATGAGAACTTTCCATTTGTTTTGGTGGTTGAGTTTTGTATGATAGATTACGTAACTTGGTATACTGTGTAATAATGTTGTCAATAAAGACGAAAGCATTTAGTTTATCGTCTCTCAAAAGTGTGCTCCATACGAAAATATTGGTAGCATGTCGAAAAATTCTTAATACTGTTACACATTTATGTTATGGCTCCGTGTCAAGAAGTTTGAGAACCGCCGAGGTAGAATAGTTACATCAATATAAAATCTGTAAAACAGAAAGTGTACTCATTCAGATGCACCTATTTTTATAATATTCCGAGGTTTGGGGATGACAAGAATATTTTACATTATTGTATAGGTAAAAGATCGCAATAACAAAGAAACATTACAAAAAAGTCTTTGTTTTGTAAATTTCTCTCGGATTAGTAAGTAGTTGTTTTTATAATAAGAAGTTCGAGCGTAGCATTTGCTTCATAACGACCTTGGTTTGTTTTTTTTTTTTGAGGTGAAATGCCGAAATTTATTGCTTAAAATTGAATGGGAATGATACCAATTGGATTCTTAAATAATAATCAAAATATAAACAATTCCATTCCATTTTTAATTAGGTATTGAGTAGTAATTAGGTACTTAAAAGTTCTATACTTCAGCTAGATTTTACCATAGGGGAAGACAATACTGGCCTGTCCTCGACTACGGTCTCACACGCCAAGGAGAGGGTACATCGTAGGGATTTTCGTAGGTAGGCCTTCGGTGACAGAGTAGAGTCCCAACCACCAGGCGACAGGGATTATAAGACAAACGAAGATCTATTCTTAGAAACCACGTCATCTATTTTAGTGAAAAGAAAAACCGCATTCATACATTGGAAAAGCTTACATTATTTCTAATTAGATAACTATTGTGTAGGTCTTAAGCAGTTAATGTTACTATGAAATATGAAGGATGTGTAAAATATGAGTACCTATATGAGTATCTCGGTGGCAAGTTGGAAAAGCGCCGCGGCCCGCGATCATTGTTGTTAAGCAACTTTCGCAAATATCGGTCACGGAATGGGTGACCAAAACATTATTGTCTCGAGTTACTCCATGCTTCAGACAGCCCCAGCTGCGTCTACAGTCGTTAATGCCTTCTAATCCGCATTGGGCCCCCGTGAAGGTTCATGACCCATCGACTTTAACCGTCCATAAGGAAGACCTGAGCATCTGCAGTGGGGACGTAACAGGGCTGATGATGTAAAATGAATACATCCCTTAATTGATTTTAGTAGGTGTTCGACTTTTTTTATATTAATACAACATTTATGCACGTAAAATTGTCTTTATCGATGCTTCTTTGTCATGTCATCATCAGGCGTTTGATCGTATAAAGGTTACATAGACACTCATAGAAAAACATTAAAATTATTCTCCGATACCTCTTTTCTGCCACTTTGGGGGATTGCCCGGTTTGCACCTTAGAGCAGGCCTTAGTAGAGACAACTTTACCTGGCTTTATTACTTATATTTATTAATTCATAATTTATGTAATAAATTGTAACGAGTGAGTATTACACGAGATTAGACGAACACTTAGGTTTTTCCATTTACCTGTATTCCCCGACTTTTCGGCAGAATTTCAATGGCCATAAACGTCGGGGAAACCTAACATTCGATTTATTGCATTACTACGGGAAGATTTAAAAGTATATAATGTATGTAATCTTGAACTCTACTACATGTATATGATGATAGTAAGAAAGATAGAAAGAAAATATATTTATATATTTTATAGCAATTATTACGATTACTGTCTTGTCTATTAATCAGGAATCATAGGTCTGTCTAACCTTAGTTCCCAAGGTACAGTGTATATAGATCTTATATACTGTGCACAAATTTTCTAAAGTATTTACGTCAATTAACGTCTGTTGACGTTGGGAAATGTCGCGCGTTCAACGCACTTACTAATGTTCGCCAAAGACAGACGCAAAATTTCATCCGAAATTAACCTTGAAATGTTGCCAGAACTATATTCCTGTGTCCCGTGCTCCGATTAAACATCGTCTATCCTCTTATTTTGTTTGGAAACAACCGGGAAGTTTGGGAATACACTACGCAGTTATTACAGTTGCGCTATTAGGGTTTATTTGCGTGTTTGTCGTAGAAAATGCGGATTTTCTGCTTGGCCTTGCGAATGGTGATTTAAAAATATGTTTTGTTTGTAAAACAACTGTAATAATCAAAACCGGATGCGTAAAAATTTCGTGTAATTAAGTACTATTTTTGTGTTTTAATACTTTCTTTATTGAAATGTGTATATTTCATCAAGTACATGAAAACTTAGTTTGTTGTTTTTTCTTGCCTTCGGATTTTCTTAAACTAACCTCGCGAGTTAGAAGTTAAAATAAAACAGCATGTATCATGAGCGTGATCGGTTTACAGATAGGGGAAAAAATGAAAATCGGTGCTTAAGTGATTTGAATTTTGCTTTCTATAGAATTTTAGCTCAAATATTTAGCAAGCACGTTTTTCAAGGAACCTTGTAAAGCGTGATAGTTGCATATACTTATCTTTTTAAATTACAATAATCAACTATAAGGTAAACAGTAAAGTTACATTTTCATTTGCATTTTTATTGTGAATATATATTGCTGACGAAAGGCGTTGCTGTTTGGTTAGTTAATTTTATACGGAGACCTCGCGTCTACGATTAACTCATTCGGCCTACATTTGAAAGCATTGGAATTATATTTTTTTATTGAGTCATTTATTACTACACACGGAAAATATTCCACCTACTTTACATTAGAACGTTGAATTACATGAAGAAAGTTCACAGATGGCATAATAATATTTAGGTATTAGAAAAATGTTCAGTAGGTAACCTTAACTATTTTAAGGTTTAGGTTTTACCTATTCGATACAATCGTGTCCCATCACTCGTGATACCTTCCTACCTCCATGCCTTTTTATTATCTGAAGTCCTTGGGGGTAATCCGAGAATATCGTAAACTCACTTCCGCAATCGCAGCCGGGTCGAGCAGACGTAGCTCCCAATATATAAAAGCTGAGAAGTCAAGTATCACGGCGATCGACGCGTTTGTCTCGCGAACAAGTGATATAGAGTGTGGTGCACCACTAGGAAATAAGACGCGCGTCCAGAACATCGAGCACGCTGGGACGTAGTGAACCAGGTACGCCCCCATCCTTTTCCTTGTGATTCACCATATTTCCTGGTCCTTCAGCCATATATCCTTATCCTTTGCCCTGGTAGCCTTAAATTTTCATAATAATATATCATCCAAAATCATATCGAAGCATTTATTAGTTCTTTGTAATTTCTTTTCACTTTTTACTGTTTGGATACCCTCGTATTTTTTAAAATAAATTGGTGCATTTTTCGTGGAACATTAGTGCATTTCCGAGTTTAGCTATTGGCAACACTGCTTGCATAGACTACATTCATTTATAGACGACATTCATTCTGACAAGTGTCACATTATTTCATAACTTAACCTCGTTTCTTTTTGTTTACAATTTCTAATAAGATGAACTCCGATCTAAAGATTGCTCAAATAAAATTCAAAATTTCATATGATTTTATAAAAGAACTGTATGAATCAGCAACAGGACTTACACAAACAACTCCAAATGCTAAACAAATAGCTATGTTTCGTGTGCGTTACGCAGACTTAGAACATATTCGGAAACAATTCGATGAGAACTTTTCTATTTTGGTTACTCTGTTAGATGACAAACAAAGGGAAGACATAGAATCAAAGTTTTCAAAGTTTTACGAAAAATTTTATACCATAAAAACTATTTATGACGACTTAGGTATGTGTGATTCCAAAACCGATATTCCTGTAGTGAAGCAGACATTTGCTCAATCCCATAATGAATCGACTCGTTTTCATTTGCCAAAAATTAACTTAATTAGATTTAAAGGTGTTCACACAGAATGGCCTAATTTCAAATCAATTTTTGATAGTTTGATACATCAAAACAATGAGTTATCTTCCATTCAAAAGTTTCATTATCTGTTGAGTATTTTAGAACAGGAACCTCTAAATTTAATAAAACATTTAAGCATTACTAGTGACAACTATGAGGTTGCATGTACTATTTTACATGAACGTTATGAAAACAAGCGCTTGATAGCCGATAAACATTTGGAAATATTACTTTCAGTTTCATGTCCTAATTTAAAAAATCTGAAACGTTTTATTAACACATTGAAAGAGAATACACAAGCTTTAAATTCACTTGGGTTTAATGTAATATCTTGGGGTTTTCTATTATATCACATAACAATCAGAAAAATACCTTTAGACTTAAGAACTAAATTTGAATTTACCTTGCAGCAAAATCAAATTCCTGATTT